TCTTCTTTTTCTCTCTTTTTGGCGCTTTATGCCAAAGGGAGAGAAAATTAGAGGGGTCAACAACTTTTCGCAACAGCTGCACTTTATTTCCTATTCGATGAGTGTTAGTCTTCACTAGGTGAAAAGTTTGAGAGTTGCTCAAAACTTTAAATTGTGAAATAATGCTACTATTTGACTCTTTGTTTATCGAATATGGACATGTATCGTTGTGTGGATTAGAAGTCATCTTATTGTGCTAGGTTGCATATCCTTTTGTTTGAGCTAGCTGTGTTGCGCTTGACTCTGTCTTGCTCGTACAGTCAGGTGCGACTCTGCCGCACAGCAGCAAGCACATGTGTGCATAAACTGTCATTTGCATCACGTTTTACATACCTGACACAGTATGCAGCACCCCATAGGAGCTTGGATGTAGGGGAGCCCCATCACTTTCACTAAAATAAAATGTGAATCTTGGCTTCTTATGCTAATTTGAGAATTCAATTCTCTATTCACATATTTAGGGGGAGACTCTACACCCATGGTTTAAAAAGTCTCAGTATTTATTTCATATCTTTTGTAAGCTCTAATTGGGTTGTCATCAATCACCAAAAAGGGAGAGATTGAAAGTGCAATCAAGTCTTAATTGTGGGTTTTGGTGATAATGATCTCACAATTAGAGAACTAATGAGATTTATCAAGATGACAAGCAGGGAATTTATATTCGAGGATGCTACACGAAACGGAGGAGCCCCCAACTACAAATATAGATGGCTTCAAACTCAAAGGAGGTTTAAATTCTTTGATATATTGAATTTGAGTATAGGAAAAGTCATACTATAAAGGGGGCACAATGCTTAAGCTAATCTGTGCTACCAAGTGCTCAAACAACCACATGCATCCTCAGATTCACAGCCAAGACAGTCTACACTTTACTATTATCATTACTGTCTCGCGGGGTGCGAGTTCCAACTCGCCCGACCCCTTGGGTGCGGCTCCGGTTCGCCAAACCCTTTGGTCGCAGGCTTCGTCTCGCTCGACCCCAAGGTCATGGGCTCTGGCTCGCCCGACTCTTTGGTCGTGGGCTCCGTCTTGCCCGACCCCAAGGTCGTGGGCTCTGGCTCGCCCGACCCTTTGGTCATGGGCTTCGTCTTGCTCGACCCCAAGGTCGCGGGTTCCGTCTTGCCTGACCCTTTGGTCGCGGGCTTCGGCTCGCCTGACCCCAAGGTCACGGGCTTCGGCTCGCCTGACCCTTTGGTCATGGGCTTCATCTCGGTCGACCCTTTGGTCGCGGGCTCTGGCTCGCTCGACCCTTTGGTGGCGGCCTCGTCTCGCCCGACCTCAAGGCCGCGGACCTTGTCTCATCGGACCTCTTGGGTGCAATGTCCGTTGGGGGCTAGGGGTATATATACCTTTTCTTTTTCTCCCCAATGTCTATCTACGATTTAAGTGACTGTTGGGACCTGGGGGTATATATATACCTTTTCCTTTCTTTCCAAACGGTAACGAACCAACCTGCTCCTTTCATTATCACTTCAGCACACTCAAAACAGAGTAGGAGCTCTCTCTCTCTCTCTCTCACTCACTCCATTGTTGACCTAAGCCCCTAAGCAAATTCATTTATTTTCCCATCAATCCTTGAGAGATAAGGGTCCAAAACTTGATAAGAGAGCATCTCCATTGATTTCAAACTCTAAAGAGCACTTGGTTCACGTTTTGGCCAGCGGTTGTGTTTGTTACTCTTGGAGCTTGGCTCCTAGCCGGCTAGAGCGTCGCCCGGTGAGCTTGCCAACTTTTGTGATAGCCCCGGGAGGTTTGTTACCACCTCTTGTAGCAAGTAAAATCATCCCTCATCTCAAGAGTTCACTCTCTTGACTTGGGAACGAGGTAGGGTTGCAAATTCCTAAGCCTTAGTGGTATACCTCAACAACGTGGACTTAGGCAAGCCTTGGTGGCTAGCTGAACCAAGGGATAAATCCTTGTGTCATCCATGTGCTTGTGTTGCTATACTTATGTTCTTGTTGTTGTTGAGGTGATTTCTAGGATTGAGGTCGATCTACTTGTGTGTGGTGTTCCCACCACTTTCAATCGTGGATCTGTGATCTACCACCCTGCAGGAAGCTAAGAAATTTACCCGATCTAAATTTCGTTGGGTAGATTTTGAACTGTGAACTAATCTCTCCTGCAGGTGCGGCAGTGCCGCGCTCAAAGAGCGGCACTGCCGCTGGTGAATTTGACTTTGGTTTGAGTTAAATTGTTACAGGCCTATTCACCCCCCCTCTAGGCGTACCAGAGATCCTACCGTTTTTGTTTTAGATATAAATCAAAATCATGTGAGAGTTCACATGTTGAATTCGAGCGGAGCTTGAATCCCACCAATTCTATTTGACTCCAAAAATATTTTCTTTTGAAAATACCTCTTGTCATGTAGATGGCAAATCTTCATGACAAGTAGTTCATTGTAAAAAGTTTCGAAGCTTGGATTTTGAATTTGGGGCGGGAAGGGAAAACATTTTACTTATGTTTGACCTAATATTTACATGCAACACACAATCAAGCAAAAAAAATAAAAAAGTTGGGATTTTTGGGTTGCACAAAAATCCAGGTTGTTACATTTATGCATTCACAAAGGTGTCCTGTAGAAGCGTTTGGTACATTATGGCTTGTTTCCATTTATCAAGTGTTGATCAAGTGGTCCGGGTAAGGTAAGAAACAGCAAATAGACACTTCATAGTGGATTAGGGTATGTGTATCAAATCAGGAGAAGCGGACACTAAGTTCCAACAGTAGAATATTAAGAATAGTCCATTTTTAAGCCTATGCCAATACTGGTGTCATGTTTGCTTAAAATAGTTTGAAGTTTTTTTTTTGTTAATTATTACTCCATCCGTTCCAAATTATAAGACGTTTTGGCTTTTTCTAGATACATTGCTTTTTACTATGCATCTAGACATAGTATATATCTAAGTGCGTAGCAAAAGTCATGAATCTAGAAAAAGCCAAAACATCTTATAATTTGGAATGGATCAAGTACATTTTATGATATAAAATCACAAAGAAGAATCTAAATGAATATGATATAAAGGTTACACAGTGAGACAAATTATCATTAAGTTCCTATATCAATTAAATGATATCATTAATTATCTCATCGTTTTTTATCACCATCTTAACATATTTATTATTACCATCAGAACCATCCACATTGTCTCTTTAACCGCTTCCATAGTGAATAGCGGTCCAACAACAACAAAAGCGGCTTACGATAGCGGCCGCTAAGTTCTAATATTGCTATTTTTGGTCTACTTAGTAGTAACGGTAGCGGGCTGCTACTACTATAGCGGCCACTACCAATGCATGCTATTTAGTACTATGGGCCAAGCAACTTAGGAAGATCTAGAGGCTTTGCAGCCAGAGCCCAGAGAGACCCAGAGTACCCTTTTCCACCCGCTTGAGGACTTGGGTTCTAGTGGTGTCTCACGTGGAGCCACGCAAGAAGCATGGGATGGGCCGAGGACTAGTTCCAGAAAGACGAGGCCCAGGTTCCTACGTGTCAGAGTTTTTTCTAGGAGAGATGGGATGAGTAATCTGTTGTAGTGGTGGTCTCCTATATTCTGAAATGGTTTTAGGAGACTCTTATAAAACAAGGGAGATGAAATATAGGATATTTGATGGAGTTGCTCTCATGTACGGAGAGGGCAAGGTCCATGCAACTGAGACGTCCTAGTTGTTAAATTGCAGAGCGAATTCAGAGAGGAGAGATAAAACAGAGAAACAGGTAGGAGTGTGCTATAACTCCAATCCTTGATCCTTCCTCTCCTCTCCTGCTACGCTCTATCTTCGTCCGTCCAATTCCTGTTACTAGTAACGCTGGTGCTAACACTGGAGCTACGTGCAGGCTGGAGCTGCTCAGAAACAACGAAATGTTGACAATCAGCATGTAAGGGGGAACGCGAGGGCCAGAATGAGCCGATGCATATTCAAAACGCTGACTATTACAACCGGCTCCAATCATGTTACTTTCTGTTTTTGTGATTCCTGCAGGCATCTATAGTTTAGATTTTTTTTTTTTGGGAACTCTATAGTTTAGAATTTATGAACTTAGTGATGCCTTTTGGTATATTGGCACTTAGTGTAGCTAACAAGGCACGTTGATCTTCGATGATCGGAAATTCTGATGTCTGATTACTCAGAAAATCCTTTTTATAAACACCGCCAGTATACCAACCCAACTCACCCAAGTCAAAATTTCTAGGTCAAAAAAGTTTGACGCAGCTACAACATAACAGGTAGTAGTAGTAGTAGTAGTAGTATAAAAGAATCCCCGACAAAGAAGATCGATCAGGGCTGTCAGAATCAGCAGCTGAAACGGGCCACCGACCAAAAGAATGAACGAATCATCGTATCACAAGTCCAGAGGAGCAAACTCCTCCAAAACGCGAGGGCCAGAATGAGCCGATGCATATTCAAAACGCTGACTATTACAACCGGTTCCAATCATGTTACTTTCTGTTTTTGTGATTCCTGCAGGCATCTATAGTTTAGATTTTTTTTTTTTTGGAACTCTATAGTATAGAATTTATGGACTTAGTGATGCCTTTTGGTATATTGGCACTTAGTGTAGCTAACAAGGCACGTTGATCTTCGATGATCGGAAATTCTGATGTCTGATTACTCAGAAAATCCTTTTTATAAACACCGCCAGTATACCAACCCAACTCACCCAAGTCAAAATTTCTAGGTCAAAAAAGTTTGACGCAGCTACAACATAACAGGTAGTAGTAGTATAAAAAGAATCCCCGACCAAGAAGATCGATCAGGGCTGTCAGAATCAGCAGCTGAAACGGGCCACCGACCAAAAGAATGAACGAATCATCGTATCACAAGTCCAGAGGAGCAAACTCCTCCAAACTCATCCCCACCGTCACCACCGGGTCGTCAGCCGTCGTTCCTCATAAGCGAGCTGTGCACCTCTTTGAATCTCAAGAGTGGAATTAGCCGTGCAAATCAAGTTTCCGCCATCGTCATCTCACATTGCAGCACCGGGCACTCCCGGACTGCAGCTTCCGCCACAGGCAGATCATGTGCTGCGGGGACTGGTAGTGTGCCGTGAGGTAGCCGTCGTAGCAGCCCGACTGGTAGAACCGCACGTCGTGCCGGATCTCCACCGGCCGCTGCGTCTTGTTGAACTTCTCCACCCACATGCCCATGCTCACATCCTCCATCTTAAACAGCTGCGCATCAAAACGACACAAACCATTTCAGCTATTGTTGCTTATTTTGAGAGCCATGTCTGTTGATTACTTTGACTCAGTTGATAAGGTCAGATATTATGCTTACCCGAAGTGTCTGATTGTCGAATTCAGACACGATGTAACGAGCAATATCAGATGAAATTACATAGCCAGGTCCATTAGCATAATTCGGGTACACTTCTTCCGGCCATTCCTGCATAGGAAGGAGATACATTTTCAATGATAATGCCACTATCTTTTAACTCTCTAGAATGTCAAGAAGATTAGACTAGGATAGAGAACGAGGTGACAACTATGGACAGTACAACTACAGCTGTCACTGGCTTGTGTACATAGGAGTAACTCGCAAGCATACTCATTGTTTGCCACGAATGATATATAAATGCAAGATTTTCTTTTACTTTTCAAGAGTTCTGAGCTAGTGATACATATTTATTGTCTAAATGGTCATCATAGAGAAAAATAAACAAAGAAAACGTGCAGTTGGTCGATACACTAGATGTTTGTTTGCCGGCAGAAGAAAAAATATGGGCTCGATACTGCATGACAAAAATCCTATCACAATTACACAAGAGACAACAATTTACCTCATAAGTTACTGCCCACTTGCCAGATCTTAGTGGTCGATGGAAGTAGTTTATACTTCCGACATAAATGCTTTTATCATTTCGAACTTTCTTCACTTGATCCAGTACCGAATCAATTCTGACGAATGTATCATCGTCGCATTTCATTACGTACTTTGCAGGGACAACGTGCACCTGCATTAACAAAGATGATTAGCTGTAAATATGAATGAAATTGACCTGTAAGGAAATATGGCAGTGCTGCTTGCATGTACATATTACTTGGTTGCCAAATTGAAATCACTTACCCCATACTCAGCAATGGCAACGGTCTTCAATACAACGAGGTCATAGCTATCAATGAAAGGCACTATAACAATGTCCTGGAAGAACTCTGCCTCCTTCTTGAGCTCTGCGTTAACTTCCTTTTTTCCATTCTGCGATTTTTCTTAATCCAGTCAGCGTTTTGCAGCATGCAAATTAGTAAAAACATTTGATGACCAAAGGTGGTAGTAGTTACCAGAGCCACAAAGAACCGAGCTACAATATTGGATGATTTCCTTGTATACATCATCCATGATTTCCTTACAGCCATGCGCTCAGCAAAATGGCTGGCTGCAGAGAGAATGCCAATGAAAAGCTCAACAGGTTCAGTGGGACGTGGTGGGGCTTTCCACTGTTCAGACATCTCAAGGTATCGCTCAGGGGCGAAACTAGGATGCGAATTGGGTAGAGAACTAGCAAAAATTGACTCAATATCAATGTCTCCATTCAGGGATAATGCAGTTGCATCCTCAAGAGAGTAACCCTGAAGAGAGAGAAAAAAACCGGCAACAATTAGCAATACATACCTGAGGACTACACACCAAGATTTATGAGGCTCTAACTGATAACTTACAGTGCGGTAAGGAAATGAAGCAACATGCCGCCCATCAACATTGACATGGTAACCTTCCAAACCAGCTGTTAAAGTCATAACAAATAGCTTGCCTTCTGTGAACGGGTATGGCCAACTGATGTGGACATCCTTTGGTCTGCCAATCAAACGTTTCACCCACCATTTCATCTTTGATTCCTCTGACTTGTTGTCATCGTCGCGAATCCATTTCTCACACTTGAGTTGCCCGTCAACTGAAACACGAAAGCGACATATCCCATGAACCATAATGCCAATGTTGCAAAGCAAAGTCAGGGCCTGTATTCTTTAAGTAAAAGAAATCGTGGTTTTAACTTCAGTTTCAAGTTGAAGCGTTTGGGTAAAAAATTCAAAGGACTGAATTGCTGGCTGCTGCAAGGAAAGTTCTCTCAGGTTCGCTGAACACCAAATCTTGATCATTGCTATGGTGCTCTACTCACTACAATGACTCATTCAACCATGGTTCACATCAGTAGGTCGCAAGCTTGCTTTAGCAGCATTGAATCATCCATAACTTAAAAGCAGCTGGAACTCATTGAACACAGGGACTCCTAAAAACACAGCACATGTGACAACTATAGAACGAAGTTCAGGTTCCCACGTCAGTGGCCTCGTCAAAACTGAACAGCTCTACAACGCGGTTTCAGGTCAATGTGTACTTTGTAAGATTCCACTGATTTGAAAAATAGGACACGTCGCCATCAGGTTCAGGTCCCTCGCACACATTTCTCCTCAAACAGGAAAAGCAAATCTGGAAATGAATTCTTAACCCTTTCTAGAAATTTCCAGCACGAAGTTTGTACTTTCTATGCTGAATTCCACCAAGCTACGCTATTCCACGGAATTAAGACACCTGAGGTTCAATTTCCGTAACTAACAAGCCACCCATTCATAGTCGTACCAACCTCGATCTTTGTAGTTTAATTGAGATTCTAAACTGAACCAACCAACATGGCAGCTAGAAGCCTAGAACATTGGACGTTTGTTTAGATCAAAGAATCAAAGCAATCAAACCATCGAATCAAAATGAACCCGAGAAATCCGGAGGTCGCTGGGGAGGTTGACGACAACTCACCGGTGTCCTCGGCTGGGCGGGAGGCGAATCCCTCGCAGCGTTGCGACTGCCCCCACTGCATCCGGTAGCAGCTGTTCATCTCGATGACGGGCTTCCGGCTGTAGTCCCCGCGGATCCTGGGGTTGAAGTGCAGGATCCTGGGCGGCGCCTCGCCGTCGACGGCCTTGGTGCCGACCAGCTCGACCATGAACTGCGACACCATGACGGCGGCCTCCCCGTCCTTGCGCTCGGCGATCTTGGGGTCGTACTCGGGGCGGGCGGGGCGGGGCCGGGCCACCACGGTGACGTGGGAGCCCACCGCGAGCCCGCAGGGGAGCTCCACCACGCGGACGCCGTCGTAGGGGAGCTGCTCCCGGTGCACGGAGATGGACGCGGGGCAGGTCGGCGGCGGCCGCCACGATGCGGGCGCGGAGGTGGAGGAGGAAGCGGAGGAGGGGTTGGCGATGGCCTGGAGGTGGGCGAGGTGCGGCTTGGCCGCGGCGAAGGCGGCGGCGGCGGTGGTGCCGAAGGGGGTGGCCGTGGCGTTGGGCCGCGGGAGGAGGAGGAGGGACGAGAAGATCGGGAGCCGCGGCGCCGCGGAGCCCGGGCCCGGTGCGGCGGCGGGGAAGGCTGGCTTGGAGGGGCGGGCGGGAGAGAACGGCGACGTGAACGCTGCCGCCGCGGCCTCCAGCTCCCGCCGCCGCGGGTGCTGGAAGGGGAGCGAGGAGGAGGTGGCGGCGGGGGAGGAGGAGGACGACGCCAGAAAGGGCAGCAAGGGGAGCTCGAAGAGGAGCACGAAGGCGAAGTACCCGGCGGCGGCGGCGAGGAGGCCCGCGCGGACCAGGCGCTTCTTCCGCGGAGCCGGCGCCGGCGGCATCGTCGCGGGCGGCGGAAGGTTCTGGAAGGCGGTGGTGGGAGGGAGGGGGGGAGAGGGAGTGTGCGGGAGGGGGCGCGGGGTGGTGGTACTAATACTGCTAGCTGAGAGAGGAGGGTCGGGGTCGCCGGGTCGGGCCGCGGTGAGCTGAGCTCAGCTGAGGTGAGCTGTGACCGTTGCGGGCGGGGGGTCGCCGCGGCGGCGGCGCAGGGCCCTGATGAGGAGGGAGGAACAGCGAACACAACGGATGGGAGGAGGAATTATATGTAACGGTTTTGTCGGGTTGGTTAGAAACTTCGGTAGTTTTACTTTTAACCACTGTGAAAATTGATGGCATCAAGCGGCGAGAGACGGAGAGATTTAAAATTTTTAACTGTGCAAGTACTGGCAAACAGTGATATTTAGTTTCTTTTTATAATAATGAGATTAGCGCCGCTGTTCGGCTGGCAGAAAAAACGTTTGATGCTGATGCTAATGCTGATGCTAATTTGTTGGGAGAGAAAAATACTCTTATTTCACTGAAACGATACGGCTGATAAGTTTAAGTAAACAGGGCCTAGGTAGCTGGTTTATGATGAAACCTAATATTGGGTTGTAAATTAGCATGAAGAAAAATACCGTGGGCTATAAGTATTTTTGTAATGCTTTACTCTCACGTTATCGAGTAACTTTGTTATGCTAAGTGCATGTATTGATTTTTCTAGATAGATATAGTTATACATAGATGTGAGATTTATGGACATGTAAGATTGTTGGGCACAAGCGTCCCGAACAGGGTTGAGAGTAGAAGACTCTTTGGAGAAGGTCCCTCGGAGAAGGCCGGTGGGAGAAGGCCTCCCGGAGAGGACCAACGGGAGAAGGTCTCCGGAGAAGGCTGAGGGGAAAAGGTCTCCGCGAAGGCCGGGGGAGAAGGCCTCCCGGAGAAGGTCTCCCAGCAAAGGCTAGCTGGAGAAGGCCTCTCGAAGAAGACCCGGCTGGAAAAGGTCCCGCGACGAAGACCTGGCCGGAAAAGGTCAGTAGGACGAAGGTCCGGCCAAAAAAGGTCTCTCGACGAAGGCTCCAACACACAAGTGGGGAGAATGAGGCGGCAGTTAGGGGTTTCGGAAATGAGTGGGAGAGGAGAGAGCCCACTTGTCCTCATGTTCTTAACATTATATAGGCAAGCGAAAATTTATGAGGGTGGGTTTTACATGCTACTCCAATAGCGCTAATTGGGCCTCTTCTAAGAGACTTTGGCCCATATAAATATGACATATCCAATAGAGATGATAGATTGTCACCCTTGAATCAAAAGAAGAAAGATAATATCTTTCTGAACTTATTTCTTTCAATTTTTGTAAGGAAATGAAACAAAATGTTGAAAATCAATATACAAAATTATTTTTTAGAATATATAATTGGTTGCGCTCGTGACAAACCATTACTGATTTGAAAGTGCATTTGGGAAGTTCTCCGTTTTTTTTAACCAGAGGACCGACCAGGCGATTGGATGACACGGCTGTTTGGTGTTCGGCGGCAGCGCAGCGAGCGATTCGGCACCGGGTTGGCAGTTCCGTACGGCCGGCCCCGTTTCCCGTTGGCGGCCAGCACGAACGCGGACAAAGAGCCGGACCCCCGGCCACCGCCACTTCCGTCAGCCAACGATCGCGCGGACCGGAGCAGGAGCAGGGCAGCAGGCGACCCATCACCACAGCCCACACCGCGCGCCAGACGGTTCGCCGGCTGGCGAGAGCGCGGCGCGTGTGCCTGGCCCGTCGCGTGTTTTGGCCGCGTGGACTGGACCCCTCCGCTGCATGGCGGACACGTCGTCTGCCCGGCTCCGGCTGCCCCTGCCGCCGCGGGCCCCGGCGCCGGCAGCGCGCTCACATGCTCGTGTCTGTCTGGCCGACGACGCCCGGCCCCGGGCAGGGACGTTCTCGATCGCCGTTCGCCGGACGAAAGTCGGTCGCAACGCAACGGGCGAAAACTTGGTGGGGGCGGGCGGAGCGCGACTTCCACGTGCCGCCGTGGCTGCGACTGCGAGCTGCGCGTGCCTTGTTGGACTGGACCTGGACCTGGACCTGGACGGCTCCCCCTCCCAACTCGTGGAGACGGATGAATGCCGCGGACGCGAAGACGGTCACGCCACGCGCGTGCGAGAGAGGCGGGGCGAGTCAACGTGCTATCGGGCACGGCTGTCAGTACGTGAGAGTTCGTTGACGCTAATTTGTCTCCTACTAGTCGTATTGTCGTAGCACATAGCTGTGTCCGGAAGACGTTGCATTGGGTGTTCAGATACTAATAAAAAAATAAATTATATAATCCGTTAGTACTCCATGAAACGAATTTGTTAAGCCTAATTAATTCATCATTAGCACATGTTTATTGTAGTAAAACCTTGTCAAATCATGGACTAATTAGGCTCAAAAGATTCGTCTTACAAATTAGTCACAAACTATGTAATTAGTTTTATAATTAATCTATATTTAATACTCCATATATATCTAAACATCTGATGGAACAACGACTAAATTTTAGAAGACCATTGTTACGCTGGTACACCCATGCGACGACCTTCTTAGAGTAGAGTGGTCGCCAATTTAGGCTCGACACGTTTCTTAGCGTATCGCGTATTTTGTTCGAGAAACTTAAGCTTTTAAATAATCGAAGAATAATATCTTTGTATTTGTAATAATATGTATAAAGTCTGCATCGATACATATATTTATGTTACAAGGAGAGCTTTTATGGTGCTGATTTTCGTGCATACGATACAGGAGAAAATAAATGCCCAACTATGTGGTTTTCAAGAGCTTTTGCATGATAATTATAATAAACAAATAAGCTGGCTGCCCAACTATGTACTAGGAATTTTATAAGAGCTTTCGTGTAAGCTATGATAATTATAATAAACAAATTTAAGCCAGCTGGTTTATTTATTGAAAAAGTCTACTTAACCCTCCCACCTTTCATAGTATGTACTAGGAATATTTATACACTTGTTTTCGTGTTTTTAGCTTGCTACAGTAACAGCCTAGCTAGCAACTTTTAATTTCATTTTTATATTTATTTCTTCTAAAATAAGTGGCCACTAATTTACATTTTATACTCGTTTATTTATTATAGTGTGTCACCTATTTTTAATACAATTTTTATCGAGATTAATTGGAAAATCTAACTTTGTGCGGAATAATTCATAGTCAGCAGCTTTCTATGGTCCAATTGTGGTGACATTTTATATGGCCCTAATTATTGTATGCTTGAACTATTGTAAAAATTTCATACTCATTGGACTATGTATAACTTTCAGATAAATTCTAATTAATTTAAAAAAATGGATTTCCAATTTCTTTGTACTAAAGCATACCGTATTATATATTCACTGTAGATCTACTCATGTTGAGTCCAATAAATTATTTTTCTATGATTTACTATGATTTTTCAAAATTCACCAAAATAAAAAAAAAGAAATTCAAACCCACCCCACAACCGTATTTTAACTTGTTTTTTCAGCGAAATGAACAGGCCCAATTTAAATAGACTTTTTCCTTTATTTATCGTCAAGGAAGGTACAGACCTAGCTACGTGTGCCGTCAAAACACGTCCCCCGTCAAAACACTACTGTCTTTCCAGAAACTTTGCATCTCTCTCCTTCAACAAGAACATTCTGTGGAAGATTTCATTAGAGGATCGATCTTGGAACCTTCTTCTCTATCCCCATTTTATTTCTAACATTCCACAAACTTCACAACACTATGGGCAACACAGAAGAACTTTATGGTAATCTTTGTAGTCGAGTTGAAACCAATAATCAAAGGCCTCCTATATATAAGATTTCTTTGGAACCCTATCCCACCCTAAAGCCTCCTTAAAACAAGTCGTAATGGTTTTTGCCATGCATGTTCAATTGAAGAGAATAATGTAATCTGTTGTTTCACTCACCCCACATATTTTCTTTCCAACTCCCCTTGTTCAGATTGACCCCAGTCTGTAATCCATCTTGAATAACTAACCACAAAAAGACTTTTAACTTCACTACTAGTATTATATTTTTCCAGAGTTTTGTCATCCTTCCACTGGCCACCCCCGAAAAGGTTAATCGGACATGCTGTATATTACAAAAGAAAATTTGTATTTAAAAAAAAAAGCCACGTCCACGTGAGAAGAAAACACGGCACCAGACGACGCATCGGTGGCCAATCTATGCAGCAATCCATTGCCGTAAAGAAAACATTTGTCCATTCCAGATTAGTACACACTCGCCGACCGCCATACCCTGGCAGGCACCGGAACCACCAGTGCCCGCCCCCGCGCGCGTAAAGAAACACGCAGGGCGGCAGGCCCATTGGCCAGCCCATTTGCCCATCACACTATATATATATATATATATATATATATATATATATATATATATATATATATATATATATATATATATATATATATATATATATATATATATTCTGCGGCTGGCCATAGAATAACTTATTCTGTGGCCACTTTTTGTTACGATAATTACTATTCTAATTTACGAGATTACAGTAACTCCTTACTAAGTGATTTACTAGAATATTATGGTAAATATCACCGTAGCAGCTGGCCATAGAATAATTTATTCTATAGCCACCTTGATTTACGATAAATGTTTGTACCAATTTACGATAATATAAATATACATTTACAATACTCGTGTTAGTACAACTCACGGAGATATTTACCATAATGTTCTAGTAAATCACTTAGTAAGAAGTTACTGTAATCTCGTAAATTAGAATAGTAATTATCGTAACTCAAAGTGACAATAGAATAAATTATTCTATGGCCAGCCGCAGAACAATAGTTCTATATATATATATATATATATATATATATATATATATATATATATATATATATATATATATATATATATATATATATATATATATATATATATATATATATATAGTCTGGTTCCGACGCGAGCTAGTGATGCATATGGTAAGTACCGAGTAGAACTGTCATAAGCATAGTCGCACGACCGG